ATTTAATTTATAATTTTTATTAAATAGATTTAATTGATTTACATCAATATTCTGATAATATTTTTAAATATATTTTATATATAAGTAAAACTATTAACTCTTAAAGAATCTGTATTTATTATAGGAATATTATATAAAATTTTTTGTCAATTTAGTCCTCTAGTTATTTTACAAAGTAATAATGATAAAGAGTTTACTACCAATATTATTAGTAATTATGACCTGATTTAAAGATAATAAATAATAATCTTAAATATCCAAAATAACAAAAAGAGGAAATTCTATTCTTGAAAAAAAATTAAATCATAGATGGAACAAATCATTTAACAAATTAGATTATGTATTTAAATTATATTATTTTTATTATAAATAGTATTATATATTGAATTACTAATTAAATACTATATAAAGTAATATTTGGAATACATTCTCATAATAATAAAATATGAATAAAACATTTATTTAAAGCTAAAAATTGTATTGATGAAGAGAATGATTAGATAATATTAATATTAAATAAGATGATATTTCATATAATTTTAATTAAGTAAATATAATAAATATTTTATAAATTTAAAAATTATTTCTTAAAATTTTTATTAAAATTAACTTTATATAGGAAAAAAAAGATAATAATTCTAATGATAAATATACTATAGTAAGTTATAAAAGTATTTTATAATTATTTTAATAAAATATTTACTTATATTTATTATAATATTTATTTATTATAGATGCAACCAACTAAAAAATTTAAAAATAAAAGTATATAATAATAAGAAAGTTTAGATACTTTATCTAATTCAATTTTAATAATAATATTTAAAATTAATTCTATAAAGAGGATAATAAATTAATTTAAATTTTATATATTATTATTCAATCATTTATTCTAATATATATATTCTTAAATTTAAATATTAAAGTAACTAAAGTCTAAAAAAGTACTTAAAGCTGATTCTAATATATTATTTGAATTAAAATAAGGTTAAATTAAACATGTTTCTTAAAAAGAAATCAATTCAATGTAAGAAGTTTTATTTAAATATAGTATATGATCATAATGAATTATACAGAAAATGATGATTTAAAAAAATGTTTATCAAATATTGTTAAAGATCATTAGATATTAAAGTTGTTAAAATTACATAATATTATTAGTGAACTTAAAGAAATACATCAAAAAAATCTTATTCACTATAATATTTATTATGTTAATATTTAAATGTAAGAAAAAATATTTTTTCTATTAAAATTAAAACCAGATATACTTATAAAAAAAATTCAAATGGCTTCATATGATTTAAAAAAGTTATAAATTATAAAACAATTTAATAATATATTATTAAATATTTGGGAATTAAAGTTTTAAATTTGCTTGATATATTAAAATAAATAAATCAAAATGATAATTTAAAAATAAGTTTAATTTATAATTTAATTTATTATAATTTTTTTATAATTAAATTAATTATTTAATATTTTAGATTAGTCCTTTAAAATTTACATCAAATAATGAAACTGAATCAACTCCTGATAATAAAACTCAATTAATATTTGATAATAAAGATAATTTATCATCAGATAAATGAATTTATTAATTCATTTAACAATAATAAATTTACTTTTTCTCATAATCAAATACACAATAATGTAATAATTAATAATCAACTATATATGAAAAATTTGATAAAGAAAAAAATTAAAAAAGGGATTATATAAAATTAATGATATTATTAATTTAAAAATTTTAAAAGTAAATATAGTAAAATTAGGACATAATTATTTACTATACAAGGTTTTAAAGTTAAACTTAAAGATTTTTATGAATTAGGATACTTTGAAAAAAAATTAAATATAAATTATCAAAGAAAAAATTTAGAATCTACTAAATTAGAATCAATGACTGAATTAATAGATATACTAAATAAAACAGTAACAGTTATAGAAGCAATTAGATTACAAAATTATACTTTAAATAAGAAGTTAATTAAATGTAAATATTCTAATACTAATTGTATCATAATGAAATGTTCTTGTAAAAAAGAAAGTTTAGCTTATAGTTACAAATATCACCTAATAAAAAATGTCAAAATCTGAAATTTATTCTTTAAAATAGTAAAAAGAATAATGAATAATAATTAAATTTTAAAATAGCTTTATATTAATTAAATATTAAATAAAGAAAAATTACTTTCTAGCAAATTTGCATAAAATATTATTTTAATTATTTAGTAAATTTAATAATAATTTTAATTTATAAAGCAAAAAAATTATATAAATAGTAAATAATTAAATGTTTTAAAAATAATTTTACTATTTTTAATTTAAAATTAAATTTATTAGATACAATACATTTATTTTTTAATTTATAAATTGAAAAATAACATTTGATTTTACAATTTTAAAATTTAAATTATATAAATATTAAATTAGAGAAAAATTAACTTGAAATATTACATTTCATTTCAATTTTAAATTTGAGTAATAGTTACTGTATTCTTAGTTTCCAATTTATCCCATTTTAAATTAAAACAATAGTCAACTTGTGCATTACTTTCTCAGTTTCAAATTTGCTCCAATTTTAAATTAAGGTAATAGATAATTTGGGGTATAGCATTCTTAGTTTCCAATTTGCCCCAATTTAAAATTAGGTAATAGCCAACTTGGAGTAACTGTGTTTTCAATTTTCAATTTGCCTCAAATTTTAAATAGAGGTAATAGTCAACTTGGGATGCTACATTGAGATATACAGTTAATTAATTAAATCAAAACTATATATATTATGTTAATTTTCAATTAGTAAATGATTTTTTGACACAATTGATTGATATTATACTTTATAGTAACTCTATATATAGATTAACTATAAAATATAGACTATTTTTTTTAGATGTTTAGGTCATATTTCTTTCTTTCTTCAAATTTTTTATTTGATAATCAGTTTTTTCATATTATAACTACAAAGTTACGAAATTTTTATTTGCATCAACTAGTTTGTTTAAAAGAAATTACATATAATTCTTAAAATTGAAAATTTTTTTTCAAACTACCATATCAAATGTAAGTTTTTTATTTTAAATATAAGAAATAGCTTTGTAACTTTATTTTTATAGCTTTAATATTGACCTTTACAAAATTTTATCTTAAAATATTGAATCACTAGAGCTATATATCTAATTAAAGTTTGAAAATAGCAATATGTATATACAAATTATATAAACGTCACTTTCAGTAAAGGAATTGCAACAAAGATTAATTGGAAAAGGAGAAAAAATATCAGAGAGATAAAATAATTAATGAAATAAATAAATAAATGCTTTGCTAAAATGGACCAAAATATACTTAAAATTATTTTAAACACTTTATAGAGTCAATTTCTTAATTTAACTATAAGCAAAAATAATCAATGAGCTAATTTAATTTAAACTATATAGCAATTACCAGAAGAATAGCTTTTATCTGTTTCTTATCTAATCTCAACAATAAGATATCTGAAGGGATCTAATAAGGGCAAAATATATTCGCTATATCTATAAAAAAAGGCTTATGAATCTATAACTCAAATTTTATATAAATATCAGTTCACATTTGAGTCATTATAAGAATCTAATTCAAAATTAAAAACTGATCTTAAAAAGCTTGATAGAATTAATCAAGCCTTAATTAAAAAAACTCAATTACTTAAAGCACAAAATAAACATCTTCGTGATTAAAAATCAAACTATATATTAAAATTTACTCTTTAACTTAATATTCACATTGTTACAATAGTTAAATAAAATCTCAAAAGGATAAATAAAACTAAGAAAATTACTCAAGAAATCACAGGTGAGAATTCACAATAATGTCAAAGAATTATTCTCAATATAAAACATGTGAGATACACAAAATAAACATAAAGATAACTTAAAGATATTTTAGAGATTATACTTCAGAGACTCTAAGTCAATACAGCAAATTAATACAATATCATATAATAAGTTCACTAACAAAAGGGATTGCACGAATGCAAAGAGTTACAGATAATTTATAATAGTTTTAAAGGGTTTACGAAGGATAAGTTTTTGATTATACTTCTTTATTAATATAATATATAAATTCAATACCTAAAAGATTAACATTTTGTTAGTGTTGAAGCTCAAAGAAAATACAGAGATATTTATATATGTTGAATAAATAATAAAATAAACTAAATTAAATATATCAAAGGAAATAAAGTTGCCATTTTGCTAGGCAATAAAGTTGCTGTATCAATAAAATTGCCAGATTTGCAGGCAACTAAATGGACATCTTGATCTACGTGATTATCAAAGGCAATAAAATTGACATCTAAGGATTTACATAATTGATCGATGGCAATAAAATGGACAAAATGATCTTCATAGAAGATCTACATGGTAATAAAATTGACTTCCTATTCTACCAATTAAATCTATCTAAAATTTTACTCGTCACAACATCAAATTACTGATGTAGAATTTAAAAAATAAATTAAATCTATAGTTAAAGATAACGAATGAAACTATATATTCAGTTTGCAACTAGCATATCACAAGTTAGCCAGATATCATTATATTCAACAGTAGAATATATGAAACTAATTTATAAAATTTTAATCAGAAAGCTATTATCAATTTCAGCATTACATATTTGGCATCAAGATATCTCAGAATTATATATTAATACTCAAATTTGCCAAATTGCTAATGCATCAGCATTTGGAATTATGGTTGATGAATCAACACAAGGTGAAACAAAATATTTTGTTATGTGTTATCAATTCTGAAATCCAGCAAAACAATGCTTAAATCGTCATTCTTCTCAGATTGAATTTACAAATTGGTCATTGAAAGATTAGAAAATCTTAAAACTGTTCCTAAATCCTATTTTGAAAATTGGCATCTTTTTAAAACCTGACTAGTTGATCTGAAATTAAACATCCAAGTTAAATGTTTAGTAAACTTTGCTAAACATTTCTATGAACCTTAGTATAATTTATGGTAAAAGGAGATCCTATTTCACAGCTTTATCAAGATGATCAATTAATTACTTTACCTTCTTGCTGGTGTGCTCATGAAATGCCAGATAAAGTCTCTGAATGGCATGAATTCCTTAAAAACCTAACCAATAATTTTGATATGATTTTTTCTGATCAGCTTTCAGAAGCAGCAAACTTATTGTCTGATAAGGAATTTGAAATTCTTTTTAATGCTTTGGAATGTGGTATTATAGAGGCCTTAAAGCATTTTGAAAAATGATTATTACAATGGCTTCATTTGCCATTAGCAGTTTGTCAGCTTGGTGGGGATAATTCACAGCCATTTGCATCTAGTTTTTACCATGTAATCCTTCAAAAGCCTTGGATTTCTCCACCTTCAGACTTGGAATTACGTTTTGCACGGGATCTGGAGAATGATAAAAATAATGGAATGAAATGACTTTGGATTGTATGAATTACTATCGCATAACAATGATTTTCTTGAGGAATTTAAACAATTTTGTAGTTGTGATGACCCAAAGTTATACAGATTTCCTAATCTTTATGACTTCGTTAAAAACCATATTTATTTCATCGTTATCCATCAACAGCAGGTGGAAGGACTTTTTAACAAATTAGACTTAAAGACACACTCAAATATGTCACCGTCAGTAAACAATCAAAGCTCCGTTTATCATCAGACAAAATTTCAAAAGAAAATCTAACTTATGGATTAAAAGAAATGCGAAATCAAAGAACTAAACAAAGGACTCCCCTTCAAGAAATTCAATTTGGATCTAATATTGCGTCAACAGTTTATTGAATAGTTAATAAATTGTAAATTATAAATGTATATACAATGAAAAGTACAGTAAATTAATTTTAAATAATAATTATTAATAAAATTTGTGAAAAAAAATTTTATAGGCAAAAAAAATTTTCAATAAAAAATTTTTTATGGTACCACATATAGTTTTGATTTAATTAGTTTACCGCACACCCAAGTGCCACATGTTCTAGTTTCCAATTTATTCCAAATTTAAATTGGGGCAATAGTCAACTTTGGTCACCGCACGTCTCAATTTTCAATTTGCCCTGATTTTAAATTGGGGCAGCAAAATCGCATTGCCCAAATTTGAAATTTCAAATTGGATTGCCCGAAATCGAAATTTGCATTTGGGGCAGATCATTAACTTGGGGCACAACAAATTACTTTTTTTGAGGATTTAAAAATTTTTTAATAAAAAGGAAAAGCCGTTGAAAACGACATGAACGATGGCAACAGCAGCAGCAACAGCAATCACAACAACCGCAACCACAAAAATAGCTGCTGCTGCTGCGACAACAAAACAACAGCAGACGCATAACAAATTAGACAAGAACAAGAACAAAAGCTAAGCGACTGAGGAGGTGCATTAAGTTGCTGCATGAGTGTGAAGCTGTTAGAAACGCTGAAAATCAGAAAAGGATTGACAATTTGTTGTAAGGTAATTAAATTTGTAACGAGCAAACAGAAGAAAAAATCTTAATATTATATATATCATTTCACCCGGTACTTTACATTATCTTTTACTCATTTGCCGAGATCAGTCCCTATACTGTAGATGATAATTTTTTTTGTAATTGATCACCAGAAAATACTCCCCTCCATCACTTTTTTATTACATTTTCTTGTTTTAAAAATAGCAATCTCAACTGTGAGTAAAGAAAAAATTTACTTGAAAATTAAGTTTTCATGCTTATGACTTTTGTTTCTATAACAAGTGTAAATGGGACGACGAAATAAAGAAACAAAATTCAATAAAAAGTTGAAACTAGCAATGATGCAATTATGTCCAAAGCTCTTTCGATGACACAACAAAACCTAAAAAAGTATTATTATTATTGTTAATAACGGCCTCTGTTGGTAAAGTATATTTTTTAATAATGACCAAGTAGCGAGGTATAAATATACGCGTTCCTTTTACAGTTATAATTGTTTTTCTAATCCCTCATTTCATTCTTGATTTTTAATTTTTCAGGTATAAATAAAGAAAACAAGCAGATGTGATATTATTGATATTATGAGCCCCTATGAAAAAAACGTTGTTAAACGTTCCGAATCTTGCGATTATACAATCATCTAAGTAAGTATTAATTTTATCCCGATTATTTGTCACATAAATAATCAATACTAATTACATAAAAATATTATAATTTAAAAGTGTAATACAGAAAAGAAATGGAACTTTTTTATGGATAGAAAAGTTTTTAAACAATCTTTACCATCTTTGAAGCACAAAAGCGATGGATTAATTTTATATCGTTAACATCAGGTTATTCGCCAAGAATTTCCGAGAAAAAGATAAAATGGAAACCATCAAATGAAATTACTGAAGAGATGACACGTTTCTTGTTTTATTTTATATTTTACAAACGATAAACATTTTAACAAGATTACCTCATAATTATTATTTATTTTATTAGATAATTTCATTCGCACTAAAAATACAAGATAAATGGAAGAAAAGAAGTCAACGCTAGCGAAGAATATCTTTCAAAGGCATTCTATTACTAAGATATATTTCTTAAAAAAATTTTTATATAAAAGCTAAAAATTATTATACTAAATACATTTTTTTTTATTTATTTATGTAGTAATATATTTTTTAAAAAAAATTATTATCATACGTTGTTAAAAGAATAAGGTACAATCCAAAAACTCCTATTAAGAGTAATGTATATTTGTACGAAAAATGATAAAGTATTAAGATTTTATATGATTACACAGACAACTTTGTTGATAGAGCCATTTATTGCTTTACTTACAGATAAAATAGTATCAGACCGTGCAATACTATTGATACTTTGAATGCTTGTGAACTCGATCTTTTAATTGGTTCGATTTCTAATAAGTTTTGCAATAGATAATCCTTTATTAAGAAAAGAATCTATTTAGTTGACCTTCTGAATTATCTCAAGGAAGCTGTAAATAGAATTGTCACCAATGGTTCAGCCTATTTTATTTGCATACAAGGTCAGGTTAGAAAAGCAGCACAGGCCTGTTTAGGACCTATAGTAAAAGTGCCAGATATGATAACAAAATGAGATGATTGAAAGGAGCAGTAAAAAGACATTTATGCTGATATACAGTAGGTGAGAAAAATAATTTTCCTATATAATGAAATATAACTTATTAGTCATTACTTATAATTATATCTTCATTAAAGTTGCTGGGCGAAACCCAGAAGTTTCGACAGGCATCAAAATCGAAACCCGTCGAAACTATCGAAATCCATCGAAATCGAAAGATTGAAATTAGTTCACTAATTTCAATACTAGAAAGCTCATCATCTACTTTTTCGTGAGGTTGATGCGGCTACCGCTTCTACATAAACAAAGTTTACCGAACTAATGATGAAATGTTTATGGAAATTAGCAAAATAATTTAAAGGCTAGTAATCAATATTATGAAATCTCAATAGCTTCAAATGGAAAGATGAGAAAAGGTACTGTTACATTGAATTGATGCAAGGTCTTCATTGGTTATTCAATATCAATATAATGAAAAATGAATCCAAGTTGTGAACAATTTGCCTAAATTTTTAGAATCCAACTCGATAAACATGCAAAGGATCCTTTGCTAAAATATAATGAAACAACTATAGATGTGAAAGAAGTTTTTGCTTATCGTGATAATTTAATAATTAAATTCGAAGTCTTATGAAAAATATAATGTTAAAACTGAAGTAGAAGTTTCGACTTCATAATTACTTATTAGGAGTTCGAAATAATTATAGTAAGAAAGCCAAAGAAAATCTATTTTTCGGAACTTCATCTTCATTATCACAAAGTATTCTTGAAGAACTTACGAGAAGCTCATAACATTTATGATACTGATAATGAGTATCACCATTCAATTTAGACATATCTAATCCCATAATTCGTCATGAATTTCGCAGTATATTAATTTATAAAATACTAATTAACGAACATTTTTCCTTTGCCATTTCCTTTGCAGTTACTACGTTTATAACGATCTAGTTCTAATTTCAAAATTAGAAATTCAATTAAAATTTTTCATGAGATACCAAATATATAAAAAAATACCGACCATTTTTTCTTTTGTAATTTCCTTTTTCATGTCCATGTTCGTGGTTATTTTTACGACCACAATCTTTGGCGCATTTCTAGTTTCTACATGATTCAAAATAATTACAATTAAATTAAATTTTTCTTTTTTTTATTTTATTTTTATTTGAAATCGATTTAGTTTTACCTAAAGGTGATCCCATAATTATTTTTAAATTTCAATTAAGTTGCAACTTAATTGCGCCATAAGGAAATATAATTGCGCCATAAGTTGCAGCTCAAATGCGCCATTTTTTTTCATTGAGGTGCTCATCTTTAAGTTTTACCTTCTTGGTCATTTGTTCATTTATATCTCGTTTATTAATAATTCAAGATGATCGGAAAAAGCATGGTTCTCAACAATTTCACTAATAGGAACAGCGTTAATATGACTCTATAACACTAATTAATGCAAAGGTGGGTATTAACGTAGTACCTAAGGAGGACAAAAGTTTTGTACGGTCTAGGAATAAGATATTGAGTAAATTTTTATTTTTAACTATGCCAAGTTTTTTAGTAACGTTTCGGTCATTATTGCATAAATGTAATATTATTATTAATTGATTATTTAATATGTTGAAATTCATAAAGTCAAACTTGAAAAAAATCTCTTTTTTTTTTAGTTTCGCGCATTATATTTTCGTTAACAGGCCAAAAGCGGCCATAATTACTGTAAAAATTGAGTTCAGCAACTCAGAAATCATAAATATGTAGATGTCATTATGTGTTTACTTGCAGTTATTAAAACGAAAAGCTAACAAGTTATTCCTTTGGCGAGAACCTATACGTGCGAAGAATTGAAAGTAGTGAGTTTTTTAAATTAGATTTTACACCTTGCATTACTTTGAATCAAACAATGAATATAATGTTTCATTAAGCTATATATAGCTAATGTGTTATTAACAATATAGCTCAGTTACTTATGAAACTTTACAAAATTATCTAATACTTGACCGTGCAATATTTCTGTCCTCCTCGGTAGTTTTACGAGAGTAGTTGAGAATTCCTTTTTTTTTGTCCTTGTGAAAAAGAATTGAAGAGAAAAAAAAGAGCAAATTCATCTGTAAATAATACATGTAAGGAAAACTAAACAAGTAATGAAAATAAACTATATAATATAAGTTATGAAAATTGAATTATTCGATCCATATGACTACAAGTTATTCATGTATTACTTTCATGACAATCGAGGTCATCTGAGTCGCAATACGATTTGCGAACAACACTAGTTTTATAAAAATTTAGAATTTACGAACGGCGCAGTAACTGTGGAAAAATAACAAATGTCAAAAATAACAAAAATGATTATATCAAATATATATGTCTTAAATATGTATTTCTAAAATATTATACATAGTTTTTAGATTGTTTATAATTGTTATTTATTATTATTTGTTATTTAAGTGTAATTAATTATTATTTTATATTAGTTACTTTCGCTATATTATTATTATCTTATAATATAAAAACCTCAAAGTCCGACTTGATGAAAAAAATATGATTAACGAGTTAATAAGTTTCTATCCTTACCCATTAACCTTTTGTCTTGTTTCCATATCGACTTGATGTAATAATCAACTACACAAAAGAATCGTGTTAATAAAATTATTGCATAAATATTTCTTAGGACTAGATTTAAATTCTTGTTGGTTAATCTGGTTTCGGTTCAATTCCAGGTTAACACCGGCAATTGGTAATATTATATGCATATACTTTTTAGGTTAGATCTGCTTGGACGGATTAGGAAAAAACTTGGCGGAAAATTAAAAATTTCTTCGAATAATAATATAATATAGAATAATGATCCTAATCCTATTTAATTTATAATTTAGATGATTATAGAAATCAAAACATCATACCAACCCTTCTTGTAAATACATATCAAACCAACTAAGGTCATTGAGTGTACGCAAGAAGTACTATTCCAAAAATACATCATTAATCTTGAGGGCATTATTGAACCTTTATACGGAATTACAAGCTGAGAATATAAAATTGTAATACCATCGAGTGGTAACTGATCCTATAGAGATGTAACATTAAGGGAGGCAGGATAGCTTCATCCAGATGGGTTTAACATCCAGGAATCAGCACCACTCTTTAGTCCTAAAAGAGAATCTCATTCCGTCTACGAACATGAACACATCCACCATCACCAATAATGATGACCTTTCACAAGACAAGGCGAATTATGTGGTTATAAAACTTATTAATTTCTTTAATCTCTGTAGTTTTTATTTTACACACAACTTCTTTTTGTTTTATTTTATTAAATTCTTTTTTCAAAAATAATTGTTACAACATATCTAAATACAATGAAATATGCCTTTTAGTGATACAAATTGTAATTTAGAATCTTCATTGCTGTCTTAGCCAAGTCTGTTAAAGACCCGTTGCCACCTGATCACCACGTTGAGGTGCAGCAATATTGATCAGGACCCTATAAAAGCAAAAAGAAAACTATTATATTAGATAATTGAAGTTTAGAACTTTCATTCTAGTATTATTAATTATTCCGCAATCAAGTGTGTTGTCGGTCAAAGTTAAAAAAAATGAAAAGAAAAAATAAAAATAATAAAGCAAACAGGTCTAAAGAAATATTATATATCATTCTATAATTTCATTGAATACGAGACGAGATTAAAATGTTATTCAGTAAATTATAATCTCCAAAGTTATTTCATATCATAATTCCATTAATAATTGACACGCGTTAGTAAAATTAACATAATAGCAAACCAAATCCATGCAAATTCTTATAATAGAATATCTTCAAAGATCACTCCATAACTCCATTGTTTTATTCCGCGATCAAGAGTGTTGTCCAGTCCAGTCAAAGTTAGACGTGTTAGTAAAATTTTCATAATAAAAAAATCAAAAAAAACCACTAAAAAAAGCCAATCCATATAAATTCTTATGTCTATTTTTAATATCTTCAAAACACACCAAAAACCAATGTTCATTCCGCGACTAAGAATGTTGTCCAGTTGAGTTAATTCGTTAGTAAAGTATTCATAATAAAAAAACACTAAAAAAAATCTATAAATTCTTATATGTCTATTTTAAAAATCTTCAGAAAACACTCTTCCGCGACCAGGAGTGTTGTCCATTAGAATTAAACGCGTTAGTGAAGTATTCATAATAAAAAAAAACACTAAAAAATCAATCCCATCCATATAAATTCTTATATAATTTTAAAATCTTCAAAAAACACTCCAAAATTCCAATGTTCATTCCGAGCCCAGGAGAAAAAACAAAAAAAATAAAACCATCCATATAAATTCTTATATGTCTATTTTAAAAATCACTCCAAAATTCCAATGTTTATTCCGCGCCATGATTATTGTCCAGTAAAGTTAAACGCGTTAGTAAAGTATTCATAATAAAAAAAACACTAAAAAAAAATCAAAACCATCCATATAATTCTTATATATGTCTATTTTAAAAATCTTCCAAAATTCCAATGTTCATTCCGCGCCAGGAGTATTGTCCAGTAAAGTTAAACGCGTTAGTAAAGTATTCATAATAAAAAAAAAATACTAAAAAAAAATCAAACCCGTCCATATAATTCTTATATGTAAAAAACTCTCAAAAATTCCAATGTTCATTCCGCGCCCAGGAGTGTTGTCCACGCGTTAGTGAAGTATTCATAATAAAAAAAACACTAAAAAATCAATCCTATCCATGTAAATTCTTATATAATTTTAAAAATCTTCAAAAAACACCAAAATTCCAATGTTCATTCCGCGTCCAGGAGGGTTGTCCAGTAAAGTTAAACGCGTTAGTGAAGTATTCATAATAAAAAAAAATCACTAAAAAAAATCAAACCCATCCATATAATTCTTATATATGTCTATTTTAAAAAATCTTCAAAAAACTGTCTAAAATTCCAATGTTCATTCCGCGCCCAGGAGTGTTGTCCACGCGATAGTGAAGTATTCATAATAAAAAAAACACTAAAAAATCAATCCCATCCATGTAAATTCTTATATAATTTTAAAAATCTTCAAAAAACACTCCAAAATTCCAATGTTCATTCCGCGCCCAGGAGTGTTGTCCACGCGTTAGTGAAGTATTCATAATAAAAAAAAACACTAAAAAATCAATCCCATCCATATAAATTCTTATATAATTTTAAAAATCTTCAAAAAACTCTCTAAAATTTCAATGTTCATTCCGCGCCAGGAGTATTGTCCAGTAAAGTTAAACGCGTTAGTGAAGTATTCATAATAAAAAAAAATCACTAAAAAAAAATCAAACCCATTCATATAAATTCTTATATACGTCTATTTTTAAAAAATCTTCAAAAAACTCTCTAAATTCCAATGTTCATTCCGCGACCAGGAGTGTTGTCCAGTCAAGTTAAATACGTTATTGAAATCAACATAAAAAAAAATAAAAAAAACGCTATAATAAGCAAACCCATTCCATGTAAAATATCAATTCCATGTTTATTCCGTGACCTATAGCGTTATCAGTCAAATTAAACCTTAAGTAAATTTAACATAAAAAAATCAAAAAATAAAATAAATAAAATGCAAACCCAATCCATTTGTATACTGTATATATATAATTTACTATATTTTCTATTATAAAATCTTAAAATCACTCCATAATTACATTGATTATCCCGCGACCCAGAGTGTTGTCCAGTCAAAGTTAAACGAGTTAGTAAAGTATTCATATAAAAAAAAGTCAAAATATACTAATAAAAAGGCAACCCAATCCATGTATAATGTACAGTACTATCTATTATAAAATTTTCAACATCACCACATAATTTCGTTGTTTAGTCCGCGACCAAGTTTGTAGTCTAGTCAGTCAAATTTAAACGTTGTTAATAAAATAAAATAAAAATAAAAATAAAAATAACCCGCTAAAAAAAGAAAACCAATCCATGTAAATGTTTGTATAATGTATTAAACAATTTTTCTATTAGAATATCTTCAAAATTCACTACAAGATTCCATTGTTTAATCCGCGACGAAGAGCGTTGTCTAGTCAAAGTTAACACGTTAGTAAACAAAAAAAAATATCTCGTATTTATTATGAATTTTTAACTTATTTTGAGAAACATACACTTTAAGTATTTATGTATTATTCAAAAGAATGGATGGTTAACACGGTATTTATATTACCTCAGAAGTGAAAGTGAGAAAAAAAATATGTAAACTCGCTCGAGATGTGCTTATTTTATAAACAATTAGAAGAATTTTGATTGGTTGATCAATTGACTGTATTTTGTCGATCCTTCCCAAAATTAGAATAATTCTCATCTAACAAAAAAAAAAAATAAAAGAGATTGTTGAACTATCGACCACGAATTTGTTATTTGCAAGCAACTTTATTATAAAGTACTTTACTATCCAGATTGTTGAATACCTTTAAGTTATTTGATAAGAAAATAATTATATTAAAACTGTATACACGACTTGGCTTTAGAAAACACAATTTACCGCTTCTGTGCATATAAATTTTCATTCTATGTACTTCATATTACGGTTCAAAATATATTCATCATGCATGTAATTTCTCGCAATTCCTTGATGATGGTTTTACCGCAAGACCAATCAGTTTGTGATTCAACGTGTCAATTGTTTTCCTTTTATTTTATAAACTTCATTAATTTCTATTATCTCAACCTTCGATTCCATCTTTTACTCTGCTATCATATTCTTTCAGAATTGGATCTTTAAATAATTTTCAGCTAGTCTTTGAATTTACATACGTTTTGCATTGATCCTTGAGTAAAAGTGACTAATTATTTAAATTTTATACCCGGGATTATAACAGTAAAAAGAAATATTTATTTATGGCAATTTCTTTTAAGTCCGAATTTTTACAATTAGTGTGATTTTTGTTTTTCAAAATGATTACTTTTAAATTATTTGTTCAAAAACTCCATATTCATAACAATGAAAAATATTTTCCGGCCTGTTTTTTTATGATCCCAATAAGTATAATTTTCAGGTATGTTATTTTTATAATTCATCTTGATATTATCATTTATACAATTTCGATGATAAAAAAAATTGGTTACAAGACAGATAAGGGTAAAGCACAAAATTAAAATTAAGTATCATCAGATAAGGTATAAAGCACAAAATTAAAATTAAGTATCATTGTTGAGTTTAATAAACTCATAAGATATTATTTCAATATACTGTTAAATCTCGTTGATTATTCCTTATGAATTTTATTAATCATCTGAATTATTTTGCACAATAAAAAAATTATGTAAAGGTGACACGTGTTGAATTTTCATCGTTTAGAATTAATTCTTCTTTTCTGTCATGGTTGATTTTGTTCCTTTATTGAGATCCATAGATAATTTCTCTAGAATTGGCAAACCTTATTGTCAACTTCAAATAAAATTTTAAGAAATCACCCACTGAATCTTTTTAGAGATAAATTTTAAAAATAATAATATTTCGATTCCAATCCTTCTGTTATATAATTTTTTATTTGAAAAAAATGGCAATTTCCATCTCCAATGTCTCTTTTCCATTACGCACATAAGGGTTTCGATCTATATATGTCAAAATAACGATATTGCGCTATTAAAACTTTATTTTTCTCAAGGAACGACTAAGTCATCAAGTAAATTTACGGACAACCAAACTATTGATTCACCAATCAGTGAAAATAATGCAAAAAGACTAATGGGAAGCTTTTGATAACCTATATGTAAGGCTGTATCAAGACATCAGATTATGGCTTAAACAAACCTGTTTTATCATAACCAGTAATTATAATTCGGGACAGAACGAGAATCCTTTGACCGCTACGTTATACATTTGATTATAACGACAAAATTCGTTCTTAAGTATCGCAACAAAGCTAGAACGTCTGATTTTATAAAGTTCTACAATTTACAGTCAGAATCATAAGAGTATCCTAGAAGAAACTGTTAGCAATTTTCATATCAATATTAACAAAGCAAATGATAAGAACGTGCTCTTCGAGGATTAGTTTACTCAGCATTTCCGTATGTATGGACGCTATGTTTTGTCGCATAAACAAAAATAACATAGTACCCCTCTCCTCAATCAATCGTCATATTGATTTATCCACTTACAAAATGAAGAAATTTTTGCTGGATTTTAAAGTGACAAGGTATTTTGATAAACACTTTGAACTAAATGGAATCAAAGTCAGTATCTGCCATGAACACCAAACATTGAAGATTAATTACATGCATAATCAAATCGCTCAGTAGTACGGAATAGAAATGGCTGGAATGGAAACAATAAAAACAACAAAGAATCTAATGATATCATGCTAATGGTTTTGAGGATTTAGTTTTTTAAACTTGATCTTTTTGGGACTTTTTACAATAATGCAAACGGTGACAGGAATATTTGCAAATATTAGGTAATTTAAACAAATTTTCATTATTTATTATATTCCATTTATTTCATTATTATTTGTCATTAAACGGTATGGTAATAGAATAGAATTTTTCCTATGGAATAGACTTTTAATTCTAGTAAATTCTACAATTTCAACCTTTTTCGGAAGGCCTTTGAAAGATTTTGTTTATAGATTGGTTTCGATACAATCACAGTCGTAACATCGCTACCTGAGAACTATTCGTTTGTCATTATTAGTGGTTTCGAAAGACTATCAATTAATCCCAACACCCGATCTGCTTCGAATCGTAAAAAATAAAATAAAACTAAGAAAACTCTCATAAAGGAAATTTCGAACGCTGTGTCCTGAAGAAATTAACAAAAAAATTGACTCAACTTGCAAAGCAATAGGATATGAAGAGGGACCCCTAAATGAAAGCAAGGGCACAGAATCTTTTTGGAAAAAAAAAGAATCGTTCGATTTCTGCGCCCTGAAACGGCAGAGCATTATAAAGAAAAAAGTTTTTTCATTATGGATCTGTTGTACCCCAAATGCGTTAATGTCCGAAATGCGCATTTGGGATATCCCAAATGCGCGTTTCGGACATCAACGCATTTGGGGTACGACAGATCCAACCACAAACTTATATTATATGGTACCTCGTAATATCTCGTAATCAAATTTATTATAAAATATTAACTTGGTTTCTTCACATGATAATTAAAAAATATTAACCTATGTTTTAAAAAATTCTAATTTTTAGCAATAGATCTAAAAATAAAATAAGTAATCAACTGGAAGGGTAGGCAGGGTATAGTTAAAAAGGAAAATAATTTTAGCATAAATTTATTTAATAAAGTTTATAAAATAAAATTTTGAGTTGATATTGAGTGTTACCTTCAACTCCGTTCGAAGGTTCTTAGCCTAAGAGAAGGAACCGATCGAACTAAAATAAAAAAGAAATGAAATAAAATACATGCGTTACTTTCAAATATTAAGGCCGCCATGACCATGAATCTAGTTATATTATTATAAATCGATGCTGTTCGTTGGATTTACATCCTAGTTCTTTTATTTGAAACCAAATAACATTTTCTTTAAAAAAAAATGGATGTTAATATTCACAACAATGAAATCAAGTTCTGTTAGTATCTGAATTTAACAAATTAAATGGTTCGGATTAGTGCTCCGAAACGATCGAGTCGACCCGGGTTGTTTGACTCGACTCGAATTTTTTCTCTATCATTTTTATGACACGAATCCTAATTCAAAAAAACCCACAGGTAAAAAAAAAATTATCATTTATTAAACATTAACTAATACTTTTTTTTATAAAGCAACAAGAGTTTTAGTAGAACAAGTTTATTCTGGCGGAACCGATCTGATATCGACCAAAAGAAAATTCGGTGGAAAAGGATGTAAAAAAAAAAAATTAGGATTGACACACATAAAAAAAAAATAATAAATTTTATATACAGCATTAATATTTATAAATGAAAAAACTATTCTGTAAAGCTTCTCACCGTTTTGCTTAACCTAATATGTAGAAGTTTTATTGTTACTACTTTTTTGGAATTGGAATTTAACCAACAAATTCAATTTACAGCTTTTTTTTGAAACGACACTCTGCGGGGGACTAAGGAGCAGCGATCGATGATTTTTATAAAATCTTGCGCCCCTTTCTTTTTCTTTAAATTCCCCTTCGAAATCGGACGGTTCTGTTAGAATAAATGCTTTCGTTGTTTTATTTTTTATTTTGTTACTCCTACTCCAATGTTTTATTAATTAAACTGTATATAAAAGAAATTTTTTGAGATATTTAAAAAATAAAATATGTAAATTACTTTGAATTATCTTAAAAAAAAAAAATAAATCTTTATTTTCAAGAATTTTTGTTGTTTATAAAAAAAAAATATTAAAAACAATTAAATTTAAAAATGTAATAAAATACTTGTGGTAAGAATTTTAAAAATAAAACTGCCTTCTGCGTTATTTTCTCGATTTTTATGCAGTGTCGAGGCGCAGGTAAGTATTTAAATTTTTTTTTCTATATATTAAACCACAGTCCATTAAGCAACCCTTGAGATTTCGAGTCGAGTCCAGGTTAAAGAATAATCGGGTCGAGTCGAATTCGGGTTCTGTAACTATTAACGGGTTCGAGTTTGAGTATTCCTTAAACCCGACCCGCCGACCCTTACGGAGCACTAGTCGGATAATATTTACACTTATTGCAATAATCATTTTCTAAGAAATTTTATTTGGAATTCTTCTTTGAATACATTCGATAATTAAACATTACTTTGTTAAAGATAAGTAATAGTGATAGCTTGAACAGATACCGAATTAATTAAATAAACTATATAAGTTTTTTTTTTTTTAATCCATCGTTGTTCAAAGCTTTTGGAAGGACGCAAAATCCGAAAAATAAAAATTTACCATGCAAATTTAAGAGATTTAAATCTTCTAAAACAGGGTAATCGAAAAAGAAAAGAAAAGAAACTTTACCTATGCGAAAGATATTGCCGATAAATAAAGCCTAAAAATTGACAAAAGAAAAAAAACAAGATAAATAATCATATTATTAATGAAGTAAGAAATATTAAAGTCTTATCAAATGTCTCTCCGAAAAAGATCATAAAAATTAGAATAATTAATAATCATGATGTAAAAAAGGAAATATAAGAAAAAAACCTACCTATCATATACAGGAAAATTCAAACCATCTACCGCTGCAACCCGAAGTTAACAAAGGCGGAAATAAAAAACCTAAAAAATATTCGATTGCTGCGATATTTATTTCCTTGTATTAAATATTTAGAAGCTGATGATTAATTAATATTATGTATGATACTACAACCGAAATTGGAGAAAACCAAAGCGTGAAAATATTCCGTTGCACATGGACATTTTGTGATAATTTTTAATAATTTGCAGTCTTTTAATTTGAGGAAATAATGTTATTTTCTTTTTTATAATTGATGATCAGATGCCTCTAAAATTTATTGGCCGCTGAACCTTCAAGAATTAATTGAATTTCTAATAAGAATTAAACGGATTAATACTTTTCTCTAAATCGATTAAATACGGCAATCCTTTTTTAAGAAAGTTACATAGTTTATTAATTTTGCTATTTAAGATTTGGTAAAATTATGTTTAGATATGTAACCATTTTTTTGTTCTGAAAAAAGTCGAAAAAATAAATTTATTTTTTAAAATGTAACTCTCTTAAATTAAGCTATAGTTGTATTCAGTTCTTTCGTAAGTAATATTGATTGACGATAAATTTTTTAATAACGTCGGCGCTCTACACTTTGGCAATGTCAAAATATAAAACTGGTATTTATTATTTTGAGAGAATTATTATAATACTACTAGAATTCGGATAGTTTGAAATATTTGATTTAACATGGAACATCATGGACAAAAGTTTAAAATAAGATATTCGACATTAACCTTATATAGAAATGGATCACTATTGCTTAATTAAAAAGGAAATGATATGCGAAGGCTGAAATTTTCTAGGAAAATCAGGTTCCGAGAAATTTTTGACTAAAATTAAGAGCTTAATACATTTTAATCTAATTACATCAAA